AAAAAAAAAAAAGCTCTCCGGCTTGCAGAAAACTGAGCTCTTTCAGGCAGTGCATGAAATGGGGAGGAAGGGAAGGCCGGCCAGCCAGCCAGAGCTGGAAGCTGTTTCTTGCAGAGATGGGGTGCTGTGCACTGGGAAATAGCAGCTCCTGAGCCAGGCTGCTCCTTTTTGATTGCCTGAAAAAATGTGAAATGGCTGTAAAAGGGAGGAGTGAGGCTTGCCATTTACACCTGCGTATTACTCAATTGTAGTACGATTGCAGACTGTGTTCTTTCTGCGTGGCGGAGGTACGTGAAGTCATCCGTCGCTGGTGAAAACAGGCTGGGGGGGGTCTCACCGGTCCGCTCGCAGTGAAGGGCACCGGCAGAGCTGAGCCACGGCCCTTGGCAGCAAAAACTCGTGAGTGCTTCTGTGCACTGACTGTGCCAACGGGTGAGCCGGCGTGCCCTTCCCTTACTCCTGCGCTCTCCTTGCGATAAGGATGGCAAACCTGCGTTGTCACCCTCTGCAAAGACACCCAACCTTACAAATGAAAACGGGAATGCCCGAGTTGCTTCTGGTGGTAACTGGGAAGGGGAGAAAGCCACGCTGAGGCCGTGGGCCTGGCCGTACGTGCTCAAGAGACGCGGCTCCTGCGGTTTGCGAGGGAAATGCGTACCTGCGCTGGAGCACCGCCTCGTTGCAGAGGAGCCATTTCACTGCTTGGACCTTAGACACGAGGGTGCTACTTGGTTGAGGGTTTGGAGGCTGGCGAGGAGGGAGGATGAGGACTGAAGGTTGTGTTTTTGTTTAATTTGGGACCTTTTGTTTCCTCAGAGCCTGTCAACTCAGTAGGATGAAAAACCTGGTTTGAGTGTTTGCTTCATTTGGCCGCAGCTTATGGAGGAGCAGGCAGATAAGGGCCAGCTGTTGGTCCATTTGCTTGCTTAAACAAAACCCGCTGTGGCATGTGCAGAGGGCTGCAGGCTGCAGCACCTTGCAAGAAAAGCAAGACGGGGATAAGGCTTTTGTATGCTGCTTCTGTTTTACTATCAAGAAATTATGTCTCCTGTTGGAGAAAAAGATGAATTTTTTGACGCACCTTGCAGTCTGCTCTCTGGTTTTGTACCGCGTCCGTTGTAGGAAATAAGAGATTAGGGAATTCCAGTCATTTTCTGTAATATAAAAGTTTCTCATTTCACCGTTTCTCTAAATTCTTTGGCAACTCTCAGAAAGGTAAAATGGCATGGGAGGGTAAACAGCGTTTCCCTGCGCTGTTGACACTGGGATGGCAGGAGAGCGTGTGTGGGGGTGAATTCCCTCCTGTAGGTTGTTCAGAAATAGCATGCTCTGCCCCGCTCCCTCCGTGTGTGTGTTCTGCTTCTGTCAGTTAGCAGGAGTGAGTCGATGCTTTCCTGTCTGGCAGTTCAGTGACTTAATGCATGTTTGAGTAGCTGGCCTCACCGTTTTATTGCTACACATACTTTTCTGTGGAAAAACTGAGGTGGGCAATGCAAATGGAACCACAACTCATGTCCCTGCCTTCCCTTTCATTTCCTCCTCTCTGTTCTCTGCCCTCCTTGGCGTGGTTTGGTTTGTTTTTTTTTTTTTCACTGGGCGTTTCTCCTCACTGCTCTTCCTGCGCTGTGCAGGTGCAGGAAAATGTTGAAGGTGAGCATCGTGAAAGGACTCTTCTCTAGTGCCTCTCCTGTTTTGGACCCTCTGAGCTGTGTACAGAGGGAAATTGCTGTGGTCTTGATAATTGTAGTTGAGTTTCTCCTTGCAGCCAGCTTCCTGTGTGAGGTATTGCTGCTGTAAAGTATTGTTTGAGTGCTAATGAGGGGGTTGTCCATCGCCAGCAGAAGTGCTGTTAGGCTGGCAATGGGTAATTAATCAGGAAGCAGGTGTGTTGCGTGCGCAAACCCCTTCAGCATCCGCACTGGGGGAGAAAACACTGGCCTATTTAAGGAGAGAAGGGGCTGCCTTGACATACTGTGTTTGGGAGCCAGGTATTCTGAATTCTGTATTTATGACTTCCTGATTCGAGGCATGTTGCCAAAGGGGCTTTCACCTCTGCTAGTAAACGTCTCTAGCTGTTGAAAAGGTCCAAGTGTCACTATGAGAGTTTATGGCACAGTTGCCTCTGGAGTACTCCATGGAGCAAAATGTTCTTCTGTTGGTTCAAAGAAGATAGTGCTGAGCTGCCCTAGAACCAAGTCTAAGCCAAACCTGGCCCAGCTGTCTTTTGCAACTCAAGCCCGAGTAATGTTGTCTTCAGTAAACATTTAAGAAACAGGCTCTCCTTGTCTGTTTTAAATGCCTGTTAAATGATGTGCTTTAGTCAGGAGACGCGAGTTCTGCTTTCTGGGATGGAGTTTAGTCCCTGCCTGGGAATGTCTGTGGTATGGCAACATGGCCATGACACAGGGCTAAGAGTGATCATACAGACCAGTGAGGTTGAGGGTCGAGGACAGTAATACCCAAAGCTGAGTTATGATCCTGAGTTGTTGAAAAGAAAGCCTGCACTACTGTTGGGTTACTCTTCTATCCAGATGCACTGGCCAACTCCTGTTGCGTTGTAGTAATTCTGCTCTCAAAAACGACCATTGCTGGCAAATAGTCTAAAGGGTAGTTGGTAATCTTTTTGGATGCCTGTAACAGAGACAGATTTTTAAATATAATTATGGATGATAGCAGTGAGAATTAAAAGGAAAGAAAGGTTATGTTCATCTAGTGCTATGACAAGCAACTCGGCATCATTTTTTCTGCTCCTGTGTGATATCCATAAGGGAAGAAAATTCTCTTGCAGAGATAATTACTGTAGCACAATGACAAGTTCACAGTGCTTTGCAGGGAGAAGGAGTTTGCAATTTAGATAAGACATCCCTGTCATCTTTCTGCAAGTCCTTTGCTAGCCTCTCTGTTTATTCCAATGTGAGGAGCTCCTCTGGTTTGGCTGGGTAGATAAGCTTGCTGTTAATCTTGGCGGCATTCAGCTCACCTAATCTCCCTTTGCCCAAAGATCTATTTAGGAAGACTGAAATCTGTTAAAATTTCTCTTCCTTAATGCTGGGATAAAGAAAAATGTTGGTTGGTCAGAGGGATCATTTAGGGTCAGTGATTGTTTTTTTCCTGTTGAACCTTGAGGAATTAGAGGTGCAAGTAGTAACTGCCTACCAGTGTGAAGGTGTCAAAATAACCTTATCTGGTTAGGACTAGGTTGTATTTGGGCATGAGTCCTACACAGGTACATTAGAGTGCAGCCAACACAGAAAATATCTTGAGGTTTATGTCTCTATTTGGAAATCACATCTATGTAAAATTTACCAAACACATGAATATGGCAATTATTTTTATCTTTTCAAGACCTCACTAATGAGTTGACTGGGCATAACTGTATTTGAAATCTTGTAGCTTTGTGTGTGGCAATATTCCCTGTACGTCTCTAATATCTCTAACCAGTATAGAGGAGATGGTATCAATTATCTATAACAAGTGCCATGAGTGGGATTTTAAACTGATGCACTCCTGAGGTTGTTGAATTTTGTAGAGTATTACTATTACAAGCATGTAATTGTAACAGCCAGGAATTTGTTGTTTTGATGTTTGCTTACCCTGATGGTTTTGGTTTTTTGCCCACAGGACTAGAGTGAAATTGGAAAGCCTAGAAGATGCTTATATTTTAAGAGGAAATGATGACTCTCTTTCCGATAAGCATGGATGCCCAGCCTATGTGAGTCCAGAGATCTTGAACACAAATGGCAGCTACTCTGGCAAAGCAGCGGACGTATGGAGTCTAGGTGTCATGCTTTATACCATGCTAGTTGGACGCTATCCTTTCCATGACATTGAGCCTAGTTCCCTCTTCAGCAAGATCCGTCGTGGGCAGTTTAACATTCCAGATACTCTATCGCCCAAGGCAAAATGCCTCATACGTAGCATACTGCGTCGGGAGCCATCGGAAAGGCTGACTTCACAGGAAATTCTGGACCATCCATGGTTTTCTACAGATTTTAATGTATCGAGTTCAGGATATGGTGCTAAGGAAGTATCAGATCAGCTGGTGCCTGATGTCAACATGGAAGAAGACTTGGACCCATTCTTTAACTGAGCACAAAGACTGGTGTTCAGAAGGTACACAACCTGGAGATGGACACATGAAGGAGCCCTTCCTGACCGTGTTAAATCATATCCTGCATCAGCCTAGCTTGGTAGCAAAAGACACTCAGAGGTCCTCAGATTGAGAAGGAACCTCCACAAGGAGCTAATATAACAAATGTAGCATGGGGACAGATTGGGGGGGCGGGGGGAGCTTGCTATCAGGTTAGATTGATTTGGAGGAGAAAAGGCAGCATGGAGCAATTGTAGCTTCTCACCTTTTTGGAGCCAAGGAGACTGCACATGCCAATTCTGGTGCAGCTGTATCACTCCTGTTTCTGTTCCATTAAAAATAGTGGCAACTCAACAAATAGAAACTTTTTTGCCTCAGCTCACATCTTGGCATCGCACTGTTAGATATTTAACTTCAGCCATTATTCAGGGAAAGTACAATTGGCTAACTTTTTTTAATCAGATGTCTAATAATTAATGGGTTTAATTTAAGAAAAAAATTAGGTGCACAAAGACGGACATGAAAAGTGGGTGCTAAAAACAAACAAAATTTCAGTTCGTGTCTCTTGATAGCTATTTTCAACTCATTTCTTCTAAATAAACTACTTAATATTCTTGTCAGGAAATGACATTTTAATGCTTTGTTCCCTTAAGGGGAAGTAACTGTCATTTAACAAGCTGTTCTGTTTTGTGTCAAATGGTTTGTTGCAGGAAGCTATTATAACTCGAACTTCCAGATGCATTACTGCTATAATGGGGAAAAAAAAGAAGAAAAACTGTATAATTTTTTTTTTTTTAAAGATATGAGATACTGGCTTCCATATCTGCCATGCTGCACGTATATGACTAGAGAGGGCAGAAAACCCTTAATCGTGTCTTTATCTGAGAACCGATCTCTTCTTAACTGACTGGCCCATGTGTAAATAGAGGGCTCTTTATTATTGAAGAAGAGTATTGTGGGTTTTTTTTTTCTTTGAATTCCTCTCCTTGGGAAAAGAATTGTTTGGGTATGATTTTTGCTTATGTCCAGAATGAGAAATAAGAGGGTATTAATAAGCTGAACATTTATATTACAGATATTCCTCTTGAAACATACACAGTAATATGCACCTTTTGTATTGTCAAGACTTATTCTATTTATTGAAGAAAATGTCACAGTAGTGATGTATTAAGCCAGTACTTCAATTACGGGTTGACTTGGGATGACATGTTACATGCTGTAGTTAACACACTTCTTTTCTGTTCAGGTATTTCTGTCCCTAAATAACTTTTTATTTAGCTTCTTTTTCTAGATAGCTTTATTTGATTTAGACTGGCAAATGTTTTTATTACTGCTTTTATATTGCTGTATGATATTGAAATCTCTTGGCATAAATATTTGTGTTTCCAGTACCTCAGTTGTTCTGATATTACTGCCTGTATACGTTTTGTGAAGTGGTCATGTTTTTTGGGTAGGTACATGTGGACTCTGTAGTATGTAAATGTTACTTGAATTTGTGCTTAATTATAGTATGTGGCATGTGCGTACAGCTACTTGGCATTTGACGTATGGATGCTATTTGCCTGCCTTGCAGGAAAGTTATGGTCCCACTCTCAAGAGGATGTTTCACAGTTCTTTATCAAGAGACAAAGCTAGCTGCAGCTGACCTGCCTTGGTTCTATTTTGGTAACTAAGAATATAAAGGAGTAATGTTTTTACACTCTGAAGATGGTGCTGTGTCAAGAAGGACTTTTTTTATTTTATAAGTACCTTATAGGAGGAAAGATTGGTGATGTGCATGGTGGGGTTTTACTGCCTCTGGTGCTTTGTCATGTATTTGGTTTAATGTTTTTGTCCTAATCTCTTCAATAAATAAAATTGTGCATATTTAACTAAACTTCAGTGGTGAACGATGTTCTTACTGAATGTCTGAGGTGCTGCAGGAGTTAAGATCATTGCGCTGGTATTTTTTGTGCTGCTAACAAGCTCTTGCCAGACCTGTGAGCTGAGAAAGCTTAGCACTTACATTTACAAGGTAACACTGTAAGCCTTTTCATCAAAAATTTTACTGTTTGCTATGAACGAAACTGACTTTTATTTTGTGTATTTTCTTTTGGCTTGGCCCTACCACTTATCAAGCCCATTTCCCTTTTTCAAGGAGGGTACTGACATGCAGTGAGAGCTATGTGTGTTTGGTGATGGGAGGCTCTTTGGCTGATGAAGAGAGATACCAAAATGGAACAAGCTGGCACTTGCACTTTCCAAAGTCCTAGAGAAATGTGCATCTTGCATTTGCACCTCAATTCCAGAAAGGATGGATCTGAAATAGCACCAGCTAATTTACTGTCTTCTATTTAAGGCCAGATTGTGTTTCTGTCATTCATCTTGGATAATAATTAATAGATGTAGGTAGTGAGATCACATAGAAATGCATGTGGAGTAATAAGGTGCTTTGTGAACATGAGGCAGGACAGATGAATCCTGGTCCATTAAGAAAAGACCACTTGAACTGGGCTTTGATTTGAACCAGGATGCAGTCTGTTTTCAGCAGTTCTATGGCTTGAAAAAGCGATAGGTGGCTGATGATCACCCCTAAGGAAACCCCAAGCCCCAAACCTCTCCACTTCAAAGTAAGAGTATTGCACCAAAATTGCTAGCACAGGGATTACTGTCAGGCTGGCTAACTTTGTACTACATGATTTCATCCTAGGTAATTCCTGGCATGTGTTGAATATTTCAGTTGGTAGGTTGAGAATTAAGACTGTTGATTATTGCACGAACTAGAAATGTTATTAACATGTAGAAACACTTGAAGATCAGTTCTTAAATGATCTGTATGCCTGCAGCCAAAGTTTAAATTACTTGAAACTCTTTCAAATCAAACTCCCACAATAAATGTGCTTTATAGAAAAAAGCAGATTGTAATCAGTCATAGAGAGAAGGGGAGGGAGGAGTGCTGAGGATTTCCCTCTCCCCCACTAAAACTTATGTGAATGGCTTCTGTTCTGTTTGGGTGGAAGTAGTTAGACCTTATTTTACAGCAACCTGCACGCTTGCTTTTTCACTGCCAGTAATTATATGAAAAATGCGGCTGACTAATGATTGCTCATTTGCAGTGAATTTTTTATTTGAGGCAAACGCTTTCTTGGTGTTGCTGCAGAGGAATCCTTTGGCAGCTGGTCAGCTTTATAAAATGCTGAAGGGGTGCCTTGTTTTCAGAGCTACCTTGTCCCTAAAGTGAAACCTGAGAGGGGGATCTGTGATTCAAACAGCTGATTTCTGGCTCTTTTTTTATTCTTGCTTCATGGGCGCTGTTAGTGGAGTGTGGGTATAGCACTGCTTGCTGCAGAAATGCCTCAAAAGCTTTTAGTGCTGCCTAACCCTCGGTTTGGGTAGCAACTGGAGCGGGAGGTAGGATTTTGCTGAGCAGAGACTGTCAGATGGGCTTAGCTGCTTCGCGGTCCTGGGGAAGGGGGGTTGATCTTCTCACGACTGTGCAGGGTGAAAAGCCATGTCTACAAACAAAACCATTTCGCAGAATGGGTCCCTACGGCAGACTTTGGGAGCAGAGGCCCTCCAGCTGCTCTGTCTCCTCTGCCCCTCCCAATTTTTTTTTTTTAAAGATACTTTTTTATTTTGTTATTTACTACAACATTTATTTTGTTAATGCAGCACTGTGTGTGATTTCAAGCTACAGACTTTTCTTCAGGACTGTACGAACAAATGACAATTATTCCTTTGGCACCATGAAGTCATATAACCTGATCCCTTAGCCTTACTGAGGTGTGCATGTGTTACACAGATAAACAAGTCAATTAAAAATGCATTCTCTTAGAGATGAAATAACCTTGGTAAACCTGTGTTTCTGAAAAGAAAAAAAAATTTAAAAAAAGCCAAACCCAAGCCCCTAAAACCCCAAACCGCACTTTCCTGGCAGACAGAGAGGAAGGGTATGAAATGTGATGCCAAGGAAAAATTATGGGGAAGAGGGTAGAAATAATACTCCTCATCCTGAAATGATTATGTTGAAATTTGGAAATGTATGAGTGAGCTCTGTGACTAATAGCATAATGAATACCAAAAGAATTAGTAATGATCAGTTCTTTATTCTTAAAGTTTTGTCTAAGGTTTCTATGAAAAACTTGCTAATTTAATAAGTGACAGTATAGCTAACAACTTAACTAGCTTGTAACTTTCCTATTCTTTCAGTAGAAGCAAATGTTGAAAATTGGTAACATGATGAGACAAATTGAAATCAAAGTGTAAGTAAACCGGGGTAGAAATGACCTGTAGTATTGTGTAATTCCACTGGAACATAAACGACTGAGGAAAATTTTCAAAAAAAGAAAAAAACCTTAAATCAGGCCAGTTCTGGCACTAACTTTTGCTTTTCCCAATGTCCTTGATAGTTACATTCTTGGTACTGGTTTCCATGTCTCCATTTCCGCTTTTTTGACTTCTGAATTAAGCCAATTTAGGCTATTTGCTTGAATTTTTGGTCCTCCTGAGATGCCTCCCCAAAGGCCTCTATGTAGGTTTGAAACTAGGCTGTATTTGGCTTGGAAAGTTTTAAGTATATTGGTGAGTGTATGTAAATGTGAGGAAAAATGCATTTACAGTGATAGCAGTGTAAATCCTGAGAAATTAATTTGATATTATTTGTGCTGATATAAATGAGTGGAATCCACTTCTTAAGGGCCTAAACAAGACTGACTTGTGTGCTGCGAGGTGTCATTTATTCTAGTTATTATTCAATTTAAATTCATTTAGACTCCTCACCAAAAATGGCTCAGTACAGCAGTGGATCACATTGTTCTGGGTCTCCTGCCTCCTTCGCACAACATCCATAGCCTGCAGGGGAAAAATAAAATAATCTTGGTGTGGCAGCTTGTAGAAAGTAATAGGTTAGCTGCTGCATTCATTTCTGCTCAAGAGATTAAAGTGTAGCTGCAAAGCTGGCACTGACATCATTCCAAGCACACAAAAAGCTGACGTCAGTTATAAAGTATATTGCAAGGTGTTTATCTTCATCTGATTAGGTTAGCAAAATGCATACTGCAAAGGCAGCACACAAAGAAGGAAATGGTGTGTTTGTCCATGCTTCCAACTCGCCCTCTGACACCGGAGTCTGTCCTGAAACAACTGAAACACTCCGTGCTCAATAAGGCCTCTGTAAAAATCTGTGGGTTTGACTTTTTCCCATCTTAATTGTCAAACATTAGTGTTAAGCACACAGTTTGTTTGAGGTGGGTGTTGGGCAGCCCCTCCTCACAGAGAAGTCCCAATCTGAACTTTTGGCCTCCATAAAACCAATCACAGCGACAAAGTGAAAAAGGATGCTGTGACACAGTAGCGCAAATGCTGATCTTCTCTTCTGCGTGCTCATCTAAGTGCGTGTAACTGGTCAGCAGGGAAGGCGGGAGAGCTGCCGCTGGTCGGTGGGTGGCAGGAGGCTGCTGCCCTGAGTGTGCAGGCAGCACCCGCTGCTGCTGTGGGAGTCCAAGTTACGCTGCCTCCTCTTCCCCTGTCTGCAGGAGTGTGCTGGAGATGTGGAGGGCAGCAACAGAAAACAGGTAACTTCCTCCCTTCAGCTGTGACCGAACGTACCCTTAAAATCAGACACTTCCACCTGTAACTATAAACACCTGCCCTAAGAGGATGCCTAGGACTAGCGTGCTCTACGGGTCAAGGCAAGTTCTTCAATGTATGGGGCAGAGGTGGGTAAGTGTCTGATTTCTGCTCATACTGAGACCTGACTCAACAACCCACGTGTTGTGCTGTATGAAGATGTTAAGTGTACACTTACATTCTACGCTTACCCTTAAAAGGACAATTTCAGTGTTTGCTCTGAGTACCTGGCTTGGATATTTGTGTGTGCTTCCACAAGAGGAGTCTCATTGCTCCATAAGGACCACTGGTCCCAACTACTGACCACTTGTCTGATGCAACCCAGTCTTTATTTCAGTCATCAGCTTTTTTTCTTCCAGGTCAGTTAGTTCACTGTTTCTCTCATAACAGTTTATGGTTAAAATTTGATCCAATTCAGTCACTGGTAATGAGGATAAAATTTAGGCATGCATTTTGAGTCCGAATTATAATATCATGTGTCGACAAAAAAGTTCAATTTCATGCAGTTACAGTTTAATTTTAAAAGCTTGATATCAGCCTTCTAGAAGAGGGGAGTTCATGCTTACTGGTCACCAATAGGCATTTTATTACTTCATATTTTGTTGTATTCTACTCCCTCCTATGTGTAATCACCAAAACTGCAGATTATTTGTGATTTCTAAGTGTAATTGCTAATTAAGCTTTTAGTTTTCACATTAGCAAGAAATGTGCCTGATCCATGTGAATAGCCTTTAGAGCAGCTGTAAGATGGAGTGTATCTGTGGGTAAAAATTGCAGCTCTTTTGGGTACCGAGTTTCTGACAGGGCTCAAGCTGCATTAGGGTAAAAAGGTTTTACTACATACAAACTTTTTATTAGAATAAACGTTGCTTCAAAAATTACATAACGTGCCTACTCTCCTTGGTAGCTCAAATCAAGGCCAATCAAATCAACATGCTCAAGATGAGTAAGTACATGCATATTTTACCAGTTGTTACTTTTTACAAACTCTATAATTCAGTCAAAGGAACGTATCTTGGAAGAGCAGTAGCATGACTGCAACAGAAACTTTATGGCAGAGAAAGAAAAAATATCTTTTTTTTTTTTCTTTTTTCTTTTCAACATGATGAGATATGGTGACAAATCCGTTTTCTTGGTACTATGTAGAGTGTCGAGGCTTTGCTCTGAGGAGCTGCTAACATGAATAACCAGTGATCTCACGTAACCTCAGGACAGTAGTGAGATTTGTCAGAAAGTTAGCAATGTGATGTATTTAATTTAAAAAAGGAA